ATATGTCAGTCTGGACCAAGGTGGTAGACTGCCTGACAATGTCATCCATAAAGTAAGTAAGAGACTTCTTGGCTTTGTAGTTGCAGAAGAACAAATAAACACATTCCTTTCTAATTGGATAGATTATCGCCCTTCTCACTGGTCTACTTAAAAAGGCAGTCTCCAGCTAAATTCAAACATCTGCCATGACAAAGCTAATTCAACCTTATTTCACCTCATTCGATCTCTGCATTGGCTTCGGAGAAGTTTCATTCAAGGTTCTATTCTTGCAAAAAAGCCCATATGACCCATGGGAGCAGGCCCCTCTCATGTGACCTGGCTTCACGGTATATTTCTGATCTCCTTAGGGATAAACAGAATACACGGTAGAGCAGTATGTAATTAAGACACATACAAATATATTTCATTACAGATGCAGAGAAAAATAAAAATAAGATTAGCGATACATTTAGTAAAAATGGGGATTATTAGTTGTTCCTGTTCATTAGGATTATTCTTTTTGCAGGACATAATCCCAGTGTTAAAGACTTTTGTTTTGAAATGAATGAACAATAATTATAAAACATATCATAATTCTGAAATGGACCAATCTGCACAATGACTACTTTTACTTTTGGTACTTTAACTATATTTTTGATGAAAATACTTTTGTACTTTTACTTGAGTAACATTTTGAATGCAGTGCTTTTACTTGTGAACATGAGCCTGATTATTTAGAGGGTCTCTGTGCTTTGGAGGACATCCTGCCTAAAACAATGTGTGTAATTGCATCAGAATAAATTTTCACAGTAACCTTCACTATCTTGGATATGAGGCATCTTAGGTCATCTTGTCTTAGAAGTGTTTTTGTTTCCAATTAACTGGAAAGTATTTCTTCAAGTATCTGTGAGACCAAGGTTAATATCTTGGAAACACAAGGTTAAGTGCTTCAGGGGGAGTCAAACTCGCACTTAGCTTACAGATCTCTTAACACCGCTCTGATTTCCCCAGCCAGACTCAAACAGCCAATATGTTACAGCCAACCATACTTTATGTAATGTGTGATGTCTTCAAATTCCCCAACATTCTTGACAGGACTTGAAGGTGATCCGAAGGAGGCCGTCTATAGACAGTGACACAAATAGAAGGGCTGAATCAAAGCAGTCTTCACCACGTACAGTTTCTCTCTCAGTGTGTGATGATGCCAATCTGCCAGAGAAGTGGAAACTCAAACAGCAGCCACCTGAGGTTGGAGCCCGCTGAGCTCGCCGCCTCTACACTGAGCTGCATTTTAAAATCCACTTCTCAAACCCACTGGAGCCTGAACGTCAGAATAATTCAATCTGTACCTTTTTTTTAAACCACTGACCATTTTCAGAACATTAGGTGGTATTTCTCACCATCCCCACTTTGCTTAAGAAGTCTTGTGAAGTCTGTCTGGAGGCCTCCTGCGGTGGAGCCTCCCTGCGGCCTCCGTTTTTAGATGCGTTTGGTTTTTCTTGAAGATAAATGTTTTCCCCCACCCGACCTTCTCAAAGTCTGCCAACACACTGAACAGCGAGTGTCTCAGAACGTTTGACCCTGCTGTTTGCCAAATAATGTAACCTGGGCATTGACAACAACCTCAACACCTGATCCTGGATCTGTTTCTGCTAACACTAAATAACCTATTATGCAATGTAGTTTTATCGGTCACAACAAATAGTGAACGTTGAGTAGGAAACTCAATGNAGGCTACAGCCATACCAAGAAATACTTGTCAACCCTCCCGATTTTCGCGGAATATGACCCCGGGAGGAAACCGGGAGAGGGCAATGAAATCGGGAGTCTCCCGCGAAAATCGGGAGGGTTGACAAGTATTTCTTGGTATGGCTGTAGCCTACCCCAGCCATACCCTGACCGCAAATACCTCATTCCTTCCGTCTACTTGGATCCGAAATGCTTCTCTTTTTGCGCTGTCCCCCGTTCAAATGAAATCGCCGCCAATCATATTCCACGCTCGCGCCAGGGCCTGGGGAGGGTTTACAAGGCTCGCGTCTTGTGCTGCATTCACTTGCACTCGGACATTAGAGATTTTCTCTCATAAATGTCTGATGAGCCACAACTTTTCTTTCAAAACAAAGCTGCCAAATGGGGTGGCAGCTGGGGTGGCAAGGCATTTTTCTAAGGTGGCAGCTGCCACCCCGTAGAACCGCCACTGCACTTGAGTAACCTCAATGGTATTGAACACATTTGTTGTTCAATGTAGTAATGAATATAATTTAGTTCCAATTTGATTGAAGTATTATTTTAATGTGCAAATGCTGTAATCAGTTTGTTTCACCTTTCTACTAGAACCATTGGCAACAGCTACCATCCCACCAACATACCCTTATAAAATAAAACAAATAAGTTTAAACTCCTGTCTCCTGGTGGTTTGTGGCTCCAGTTGGAACATTCATCTCCAACACTGTCCTAACTTTGTTTACTCGTTAAAAAGAAAACTAAAGTTGTGTTTGATGGAGGGGGGATGAACAAAGCAGTGTATCAGCAGTCTGAGGCGCCTTTGTCCTCACTAATGAGGCACTGAGCAGCTAATTGAAGGATCATATGGGACTGAGGGGACACCTCGCTCTAACAGATGGTGGAGGTCTTGAGTCAGATAAATAAACCATTAGCGAGGACATATCGCCATGTGAGCGAGCCTCGTGTCAGCGTCACTAGCAATCGGTTCCAACATATTTATTTTTTAACTGAATGACCACTTTGTAAAAGCAATAAAAGCGGATGTAGGGATGCTACAACTGTGAGGGAAAGACTGTCATAATGAGAACACAACCAAAAATACATTTTGTTTTTAGCCTTCAACCATCAGATCTGGACAGCAGGGATCTTTCCTGATAGGATTGTTTGATTTCCATGCCAGTCGGACATACTGTTGCCCATCATGGGCTCTGACAAAAAAACACAGCCAATAGAAGTGCTATCATTATTACAAGTTGGCACATTTACATGAACAGAGTGCCTGATTCTGTGTTGCCATTAAGAATGAATACCCTATCTTTACAAATGCATTAAACAAGAGAGCAAGGAAGGCTCTGATTAGCCCTACAACTGTAATGTTGAACAAGCACCAGATGTAAACATAATTCAAGCTGGATTCGAAGGAAATTCAACATTTACTTTCAAACCTCCTCTTGGGTATCCTGTACCATGGACCACCCTCTGACGGATTATTGGACTCTCCACGCTCAATACTACTCTATAAGACTAAAATATGGAGAGTTGTGTGGTGTTTTACATTATTAACAACCTCCCAGTGGACATCCTCGCATTAATACAGGTAATCTGTCATACTGGGAATCGTAAATAGTAGATGTTGAGGGTCTAATATGGATAGTTAGCTTTTGTAAACACACATTTGCAGTGTCAAGTTATTAAAGTCACAATTTATTTTTAAGGTCCTACACACATGGGTTTTTACAGGGTGTCCGCGGGATCTTAACAAGTATTAAAAGTTGATAAATCAATTTAGTGAAAATTAAGGCTATTAAAAAGTATTAAACGGCATTTTCCAAGGTATTACATTTTGTAGCTTGTTTTCAATAAGTATATAAATTGTCCAAAGAGGTTGTATTNAGAGGGAGAGAAAGAGTGAATTCAGCACCTCATTTTCGGAAAGAAACAACAAATGGTCAGGGATTTTACAATCACTGCGAGAGTTTGTCCACTGAGCTGCCCTAACCGACTCACTGCTCTGCAACTTCAAGTGGAAAAATATCATTTTAATCAAAGTGCTACAACAGGGTGTCCGGGGGGTCTAAAAAAAGTATTAAAAGTTGATAAATCAATTTAGTGAAAATTAAGGCTATTAAAAAGTATTAAACGGCATTTTCCAAGGTATTACATTTTGTAGCTTGTTTTCAATAAGTATATAAATTGTCCAAAGAGGTTGTATTCTACAGTCTGCCTGAATGTAATCATTGCGTAGGTGTGTAGTGTGATTCTGTGTAGTTTATTTATGGCATCCCGTTGGATTTGACGTCATCTGAACAGGACATCGCACGCTCACTGCTTGATAGCGCGCGAAGGTCCGTTTACGCTGGTTGCTAAGCAACATCGTTATGGGGAAATGCAAGTCTGCGTCCAAATGGTTGGAAGATAAATAGGAAGGACAATCAATACTGTATATAGTCAATGTGAGGTAAAGTGTGTCACCAAGGTAACCGGTTAAAACTCAAAGTGGCGATGAGGTCTTAAAATGTATGGAAAGGGTCTTAAAAGGTTTTACATTTGACTTCAGGATTCCAGCATATACCCTGGTTTAATTATTTCCCTGATTGGACCTCTTCCGGGGACTGTGTGGGCTTGTATGGACTTTGTTTGATCGTCATCTCTCACACTGCTACTATTTGTATTTCACCCTGTTAGAGTGATATAAGTTACTCTCTTATCATTCTTATTGGCTCATGGAGTTTGGTGATATTATGCAATTCCAGCAAATAAAGGAAAACCTTAACTATGGAAGCCCATTACTGTCAATGTGATGAGAAGAATTAAGTATGCTCTCGAAAGATTGAGTCTCCAAATAATCGGAAAGGTTTTGAAAATAATGTTGTGTAGGTACTTTTATTGGGTGACTTGGTTATTATCCTCAGATACTCAGTCATTATTTTGGGATAGTTATTCAAGATATGGAGATGCCAATATTTTGAGTCAAGTCATTATTTTATTTTTTGAATAATTCTTTTACTTAGATTTTTGGATTGTAAGTCATCATTTTGAGATACCAAGTCATTATTTAGCAATACTAACTCATTATAATGACTTTGAAGATATTTTTTCACTTCCTAAAATAAGCTTAGCAAAAGGATAAAAACCTTTCAGACTTCAGGAAAAACAAAGTGTAACTAGCCTCTATATAAAATACACCTTGTGACATTGTGTGCAGGGTTTACTTAGGATTCATCTTTCTATTGTCTGGTCAGTATTCTTTTTTTCTTCCTACAACTCTTACAAATAACAAATTCCAACAACATTTGAAAGCTCATCATATATAAAACAATAATTTATTATTTCTCTCATTTTACAAGACATCAAATTGTGTGGCTAACTAAGGATTTGTTACACTGTTATTCTGTCCAATACATGAAACCCTAAGAAAGCAAAAGCGACTACAACGTGTGCTTTAACAAACACAGACGTTTACATTTTAGCGTGAGAAACTTATTTCTCTAAAGACACGTACATACACAATAGTATCACGTTATGACGTCCTCTACGTAACAGATGGTACATCGCTGACGGTATTAACTTTGGGGAATCAGCACCATTAGAGAGAAATTAAAACTAAAAAAGTGAATTTGTTACAAAAATGTATTTTTTAATTTACAAAAGTCCTTTTGAAAAGGATTACGTGTTCTACCTTGCAGGAAAATAGCAGTGTTTCCATAAAAGCATTACGTATGCATAACAGTAAAATACTGATAAGAGATATATAGTACAAACAAAATAATGTAATATAGTGTAAATGCTGGCTGTTTATTCATGTATGGCACACTGTCTTTACACACTTTCAAAACCCTCCAAAGAAAAGTCACATATTGTGTTTTTGCTACCAAAATTATTCAAAAGAGCAAGCACAAAGGTAGAAAAGGTTATTGTAAGAATTTGAAAAATGTTTCCAAAATCATCCTCATAGCCATGTTCTAATTTTTGTCAAGTCCAACCATCATTATAAAGAACTTCTCTTCAAGAACTTCTGGTGGGAAATGTTCGTCCAGGAAAGGCGGGGCTTACTTCCTATTTACAAAACGTTGCCACATTGAACGAGGCAGGAATCTCTACACCAATCGGTAGTGTCCTATGTACAGCCCACCACTCAGAGCAGCACTTAGACTGTGGTCACAGACAGAATCGAGTTGTAAACCCTTGTGCCATCTGGCGACTTGGTACCGTGGGTCAGCAGTTCTTGGATGGTCATCCAGTTGTCAAATATTTTCTTATTCCTCTTTTTGTTCATCTTTTTGTGGCTGAGTTCGATGATGTTGGGCTCCTTTTTGTCCTCGGCTCCGGACTCCCCTTTGAGACAATCGGCTCGGCTCTGCTTCATGAACTCGCGGCGCTGCCTCTGCTCTTTGGCGCGGACGGCGTGCTGCTTCCTCTCCTCCTTGCTCCAGTAGCGGCCCATCTTCAGCTCGCTTATGGCGTCGTCGTCCGTGGTCATTCCGCTTCGTTCCTCGTGGATGCGCAGCGCTCGCTCCCTCAGCAGCTTGTCGCGCACCGGCCTCTTGGTGATGTAGCGCGTGCCGTCGCTGCGGATCTTCACCTTCCACTCCATCTTTGGGTCCAGGTCGCCGGGGCTATTTGGGTCCCTGCACAAGCTGACCAAGCTTATCTGGCTCTGGGCGTACTCCACGGCCGATTTCTGCTGGATCAGCTGCATGTAACTCTGGTAGTGCTGGGCGTGTGCAGGGATGTGGGCGTGCTTGTACGGCGAATGTGGCTGATGCGAGCTTCGTCCGGATTTACTGGACTCTCCCGACTTCTTCTCCTTGCTCTCGGCCTGCGGGGATCCATCTTGATCTTTTGAGGAACCTTTGCTTCTGCTGGGGCCAGGGGCTTCCTGCTCTGGGGACTGGAGGGGTTTGACGACCCTACCATTGGAGCTTGCGGAGCCGGCCGCCACAGACGGACCCTGATTTTCTGCGCATCGACGAAGAGAGTTGTCCGGAGAAAGCTCCAACGTGAGTGGGGTGCTTCGGCAGCTCTCGCCAGTGTTGTAGGCGCTGGAGCTGTCTTTGTCCGATTTCTCCGGGAGCTCCGTGATGTCGGAGAGCTCGTGGCGGCGCGCGTCGATGCTGGTGTTGTAGTTGCGGAAGCCGCTGTTGTGGAGCATCCAGGACTCGCGGCACTGCTCCCTCAGCTGCTGCATCTTGTGAGCGTGGACGATGTTCAGGCACTCCAGCTCGATGGTGCGTAGCTCCTCGTTGAGCATCTCCAGCTCTTTGTCCACCCCGTCCTGGTCCTGACCTCCCTGGTAGTACAGACCCTGGGCTCCACTGTTCCTCATCTGGCACTTCAGCTCCAGGAGTTCCCTGAAGCGCTCGCACTCGTCCGCCGGAATGCCCAGGAAGTCGGCGTCGTGGTAATCCGCGGAGATGAACGACTCCCCGCTGAAGGGCAGGTCGGTGCTGCCCAGCGTGTCCTGGCTGTAGGTGAGCTTCCTGCAGCTGCCCAGCGTGTTGGAGGCCGTGGTGTGGTCGTCGCCGAGGTTCTCCTGCTCCGAGCTCTCGTCGTTTCGCGTGCTCTCGTCCGTGCGCCCGACCCCGCTGTCCTTCTCGTGGTGATTGGACAGCAGCGTGGCCGTGTCTGTGGTGCCTCCGTCCTCCTCATGCTTCTTCTGAGAAAACACAAGACACAACGACTCAGAAATAGCGCTGCATACCAGGGGAAAGAAAAAGCACTGATTTTGAGCCAGAATGCTGCATTTAACATGGTTGAACATGTCATTTATCGTGTGTACCTATACAGGACTTTTTTACGTGACAATTATCAGAGCTATTGGATTCCTGCTAATGTCGTTAAACAATTTGACATTTTTCTATTGAATATATTCAATCTAGCCTTAAATCGAAAAGGCCATTAATACAAAACATAAATGAAATATAAAATGTTTTAATGTTTACAATACGAGTTCAGCCGTTTTATAGTATGTTACTACCACTACCACTACTACCACCACCACTACTACCACTACCACTACCACCACTACCACTACTACCACCACCTCCACCACCACTACTACTACTACTACCACCACCACCACTACCACTACTACCACCACCACCGCCACCTCTACTACCACTACTACTACTACTACTACCACCACCACTACTACCACCACCACCACCACCTCTACTACCACTACTACTACTACTACTACTACCACCACCACCACCACTACTACTACCACCACCACCACCACCACCACCACCACCACTACTACTACTACTACCAAACATGCAACTCTTTAAGGGAACATATTATTCTAATATGTACCTATTGGCAGGGCTTTACAGTTTTTTTCCTAATTCAATGAGCATGTGTTTTCCCATATGCCAGTCTCTAAAAGAAAATGTTGCCAAAAACAATCGACAACACCAGCTGGCACTCTCGGCAGGATTGGCTCGACCAAAGAAAACCATAGACGAACATACGTGTTAGTGCAGATTGATTGTGCTAGTTTGTGTCTACACGCTGTGCGTATGTGTGTGTGTGTGTGTGTATGTGTATGTGTATGTGTATGTGTATGTGTGTGTGTGTGTATGTGCTATATATGTATCTA